GTGAAAAATTTTAATTACCTTTTCGGTGCTCTTGCATTTCTCCACTATTTTAATTACCTTTGCGGTGCTCTTGCATTTCTCCACTATTTTAATCACCTTTGCGGTGCTCTTGCATTTCTCCACTGTTTTAATTACCTTCTCAGTGTTCTTGTATTTCTCCCATGCTTTTAGCATTTTCAGCCACTTGGTGGTTCTTTCAATTTCCAGGTGCTTTTGCTAAAATAAAATTGAGATCGAGTGTTACTGTTTGTAGCTTCTTTACTTACAAATTACAAGAAGAAAAAACCCGAAAGCTTTTTTTAAAAAAAACTACTATATTAGAAAGCAAATATCCTATGTACTTTACTTCTAAGTTGGATAATATTAGATCTGCATTAATAATATTGAAAAGTTAATGCTAAGAATAATAGGGGATACATCACTTGAGTAACAACAGGAAAGGGATCATTCGAATTTCCTAACAATTTAAAGCTTGTTATGGTAAGTTTTGTGTACACTACAAATTTTTTTAAAGGAAATTTTAAAATACTTGAAATATTTACAAAGCAATAAAATAAAACCACAAATTCAATTCTTTTATCTAATTTTATTGCATTCTAGCACATTAATGTTTCTGACAGCTAAGTTGGATTTTTAAAAAGAATTGTGTGATTAATACATAACTAGCCCTACGCTAGAGAAAAATTATGCAGAAACAAGTCACAGTTGTCACTCAAAGGATACTCCCCATGCACTGATGTGGAAAGACATGTGGCAGTGCTCTGAAATAGAAATAAGGCGGCTAGAGGCAAGGTCACATAGAAGGGTCAAAGAGAAAATGAGTGGTATGTGAGGAACTGAAAGATAGTAGAGGTTTTATCTAGTGAGATGTTGGAATACATGTGTTTCTGGGATCATTCAGCACTCTGGGGGGCTTACAAAAATTTGAAAAATCTTTCAAAAGGAAGCATCAGGGGACAAGCCTGGCAAGGTGACAAGGGTCTTGTATGTCACAGAAAACTGAAGTCTGCAGCAAAGCCAGGGAGTAAAGAAAGTGAGACAGAAGCACTTGTTCCTCTCTTTTTCGGTTTCCAGGCAGAGAGACATTTTATTCCTAAGTATATGAGCCTGGAAATATAATATATATGATAATAAGCAATGGAAATACAGACTACCCAGAAAAGGCAATAGCTAGGATGCACCTCAGACTCAAGGATGTGTGCTCCTTAAAATCCCAAAAGGCAGGTCTGGGAGTAAAGAAGTCAACACAAGGGCTTGAAGGACAGGCCGCCAGGACAGAGGAGTTCGGAACAGGCAGGTGGACTGCAGGGCCAACACTCACAGTCACTACCTCATTCTGTCTCCATCCGCAATCCTGTTTTCTTAGAGCTAATCTAGGCAATCATTTCCTGGAAGAAAACTGTGGCTCCTTGCTGACTGGCTTCAATCCAACCTCAAACAGGCAGCCATTATGTTGGCAGATGGCACACGCCCACCACCAATAATTTTACATCTAAAGGCATAAAACTCCAAGGAAAATCCTGAATTTATGAAGATCTTCACCAGTGAGAATATTTTTATACACTTTACTTTTAGGTATTTTCTTAAAACTCTTTAATTACTTTCTAATTCTTTACAATTTTTGACGAGCGTTTCATAATAAAAGATGATCTCTTGTGAGCAAAGGAACTGTACAACTGCCCATTTTTCAAGAAGCTAAACACAGTCTTCATTGTGTTATTAGTGATAAAATGCTACAGATGGTTCCAGGAATAAGTTTAATTTTAAAACTCAGTGGGGCACTGAAATCTAATTAACGTTTCTGCTAAACAGGACTTTAGAGAAGGCCAAGCTGTACAAAGCTCACGGTTGATCTAAGTTTTGTTTGGTAATTTTCTGCTCTCCCAAATTTCTACTCCCTGATTTCTTCAAAACATAATCCCTTCCTCTACTAACAGGAAAACACCAAGTGACTAAAGCCAACCCAAAAGTATAGCGCACATTTAGCAGGAGCGCCCTGCAAACAGCCAGTAGGTCTCTTGCTAGCTTTCATTTTTATGATTATCAATTATGAACAAACCACTTTAGGAGGAATTCTTTTTTTTCTTTTCAGATATACTTTTGTAAATGAATGTTTATTATTTTTTATTTTAAATGCTATACATCCTCACACTGCAAGGACAGAACATGCCTGTGTATGTATATCTACCTATATTGTATGTATATATGCACATACAATTTCAAAACCATTAAGTATGCTTTTCTTTCTTCTATATAAAATAAATTATACCTTAGAAAAACAAGCTCCGGAGTTTAAACTTAAATATCAGTTAAATTTAACTGTTGATTCCATAATACTATACCATTTCAACTATACCAGATTTCAAAGTATCTCCACACTCCATACTAATTTATAATTCATGGTTCAAATATGTTTTTTTGTTTTGTTTTGTTTTGCCTTGTCTTTTTGAGACAGGGTCTCCCCAGCTGACCTGGAACTCACTATATAGACCAGGCTGGCCTTGAACACACAGAAATCCACCTGCCTCTGCCTCCTGAGTGTTGGGATTAAAGACTTGCACCTTGTTCTAACAATTAGATTGAGAATAGAAGTAACTGAAACCATATATGACAACTGTGAACTTAAAGTGGCCTAGAAAAACAGGTTACAGAGCATCAACTTGCCATAAATCCAACACCACCAAGATAAAAGTAGAATATTTCTTACACCCAAATTAAACTCTTGCGATCCCATCTCTGTCTTTTGTTTCTGTCCTGCCCTCTGTCCCGTTCAAATAACCATTTTCCTAGAAGAAGCAATGGCTCCCTACTAACATTCCTGCCTTCAATGCAGTCTCCACACTGCTACCCCAACATTGTGCACATGTCCCACTTAAAACTTCTTCAGTGGCTTCCTACTGTTCCACAAAGTTCAAACCTTTTAACACAGCATAAATGATGGCCCTTCTCAATATGGCCCCAAATCACCTTCCAGTTTCACTTGCTACTTTATAATCTGTCCATCCTGAACTGTTGCTTATTCCCTATGCACAATATATTGCCATTCCTCTTTGACCAATGTTTGCTGTACACCTGCCGGTGATGATGCTTTTCCTCACCATCCATGGTAGCTAATATTGACTGTCAACCTGACAGGATCTATAATCACCTAGGAGACAAAGCTCTGGGCATATCTGGGAGGGAGTTTCTAAATTGGGTTAACTGAGGTAGGAAGACCCACCCTAACTGTGGGCTATACCATTCCTGAGGCTGGGGGCCTGGGCTGAATAAAAAAGGAGACAGTAAGCTGGGCATGGTGGTGTGTGCCTTTGATCTCAGTGAGTTCAAGGCCAGCATACCTGGTCTATAAAGTGAGTTCCAGGCCAGGCAGACTACAGAGTGAGACCTTTTTTTTTTAAGGAGAAAGTAAGTAAAGTCCCAGCATTCATCTCTTTTTGCATCCTGCAGATAAACTGTAACCAGGTGCCTCATGCTCTTGCTACCATGACTTCCATGACATGATGGACTGCCATGCCACTTTGTGAGCCAAAAAAGCCTTTCCTTCCTTAAGTTGCTTTTGTCAGAATGATGAGAAAAATAACTAATGTACACCATCAAAAATCTTATGCACCTTCTCAAGATCCAGCTCAAATGCCCAAGGTCTGAAATCTCTCCTAAATGCCTCTATGTCCAAGCTAAATCAATTATTCCCTGAGCTTTCAGTGCCAGGGACTAAGGACTTGGCTGGCCTGGATTCAAGTAAAAGTTTTGTCTCTTCCTATTTGTTTCACTTGGGACAAATTACTTGAGTCTTCTGTATCTTAGTTCTCTGATCTATAAAATTAGAATTACTATAGTTATTGTTGTACCCAACACTTGCATTCTAGCTAAGTACTCAAATCAGAGTATGAGCTCCTTAACCACAAGGACCATAGCATATGTTTATCTTTTAATTTCATTACTTAAAGAAGAAGTTTTATAGGACAATGCAAATCAACATCTTAAGTAGTTTACATGAGGAAAGACAACTGAGAACCAATGTGAAATAATAGCATCCTGTGATTCAAAAGTAGATGGGTGGGAAGGAGGATGACAATGAACTATTACTTTAGTCAGCAGCTTGAACACTAGAATACAGAAATCACCAGAAGTAAGTTATGACAATGTCTCTTATGCAGCATAATAGAAATGGTACCATACCGCCACAGGCAAAAGTGTTGCCAAAAGGAAGAACTCTTGACATTAGAAGTCCATACAAAATTGTGTTAGTTTTATATACAAACATCTTACTTTTCTTAATTTTCATTTTGAAATATTTCAAACTTACATAAAAACTAAAGAATACTACATCATATGCTTATATGTACTTCATAAAAATCTACCAAATATTGGGCTGGAGAGATGGTTCAGCGGTTAAGAGCACTGACTGCTCTTGCAGAGGACCCGGGTTCGATTCCCAGCACTCACATGGCGGCTACGAACCGTCCTTAACTCCAGTTCCAGGGTATTCTGAAGCCCTCTTCTGACCTCTGCAGCATTGCACGACACGGGTGCACTCACATACATGCAGGCAATACACTCATACACATAAAACAAAAATAATAAATTAAAAAAAATTTTTTAATCAACCAAATATTAACCTTTTGCTAGTTTATTTTGCTAGGCTATTTTGTGGCTAATCCACTAGAAAGTCAGACATAAACACTTCATCTCCAAGTACTGCTAAGCATGCATCCCTTAAGAAAAAAAAAAAAAAACAGAACAAAATACTTTATCTTAATCACTGTAACAATCCTACACCCAAGACATTTTAAATTAAATTATTAGTATCTCATAGTCCATACACTAAAATTCTTATTTGTCCCCAAAATAGCAGTTGTGTACTTATGGCACTGTTGGGACTTGAGCTCAGTGTCTCACACATTGATCCTATGTCATTAAGCCACCATTAAAATCCCTTACTATGGGGTTTGGACAACTTCCAGGTCTCAGGAGGGTGTCATACTCAAGGAGGGCATGGACACTCTGTGATGCTACACCTTGCCCTGTGGATCTTCCATTTGGCTGTTCTTGGGTGGTTTCTTTTTTAAAAAAAAAAAAATAAATGGGTAATAATAAGCAAAACACTTCTTAAGTTCAGTAAGCTGCTCTAGAAAACCCAAACAATGGGTCAGGGGACTCTCTTATTTACACACCACAGGTCAAAATCACCTGAGCTTTGATTTGCTTTTGACATGGGAGCAGTCTGGTGAGCAGTGAGCTGTGGTTCTGTACTAAATATCCATTGGAGGAACTGCTTGGCATATGTGGGAACACTCAAACATATTTTAGAGATATGCAGTATCCCGTACTATGTAAAGTATAAAATAGTAAAAAGAGTTTGTTTTCTCTCATCTCATACCAGTAGGATGCCTGAGTAAAGAAGCTGATGGGAGTCAGCCATGCAAGATCTCCCCAGCAGAGGTCAGGAGAGAACAAGAAATACTGGAAAGAACAGGTCTGTTTTTACAGAACACCTTGACATTGGACAGTTTATGGTCATATACTGTGAGATTTCAAGCCATGTAAAATTAAGGTATAATTTTTAGAAAAAATTAAAGGGTGCTGGCAAGACAAATCAACAAGTAAAGATGCTTGCCAAGTTTAACAACCTGAGCTTGAGCTCCAGTAGAAGAGAGTGGATGGAATCATCTCCCTCAGGTGGTCCTCCGACCTCCACATGAGCACAATGACATGCACCCCTCAAACATAAATAAAATAAACAAGTAATCTGTAAAAATAATAAATGGCTTAATACTCTAAGTATCATGCAAAACATTACACTATATAGAGGAATAGCTTTATCTATGAAAATTCATAGTTTTACATAACTTTCCTCCTTATTAAAAACATCAATAAGTTCAAGGAAACAATATAATCCATTATTACTATTGTTCTATACAGAGTAAATATAATGAGTGTGTTCATTTATTTGCTTAAGTGCCTATTTGGGGGAACCCAAGGCATTTTGCAAACACCGTATTAATCCTCTCATGAGGGAGGGTGGATTACTATCCCTATTTTAAATGGCTAACTGCCGCCTGTAAAATAATGCGTGGGCAGAGCTAGAATGATTCAAAGTCACAATAACCTCATTATTATCAGTCCTCCTAAGCAGCGAACGCACACACTTCAGGTGCACCTTTAAGGACTACAGACTTTTAGCAAGGTGATCATTTCTCTTCATCTCATTCAACGAAAAAAAAGTGTAAATTTTTATTACCTTTCTAGCCTCAAGTCTAAGCATACACCAGAAAATATATAAACCTACCTCAGAAACAGAAAACCTAGATGGAAATCTGATACACTAAAAAGTTTCTAGCCTTAAGACTGCTTTGCATAAAGCAAATTCTTGCTCCACTTTAAAAGTCAATTTTTTAAAGCAGGCTGCTAAGATGGTTCAGTAGGTAAAGCCACATGCCACCAAGCCTGACAACCTGTTCCATTCTCCAGAACCCACATGGTAGGAGAGAACCAACTCCCTCAGGTTGTTCTCTGACCTCCACATGTGCAGTGTGGCATGGACCTGCAAGCACATGTGCACACATACCCCAAATAAATGGGGGAAAAAGATTTAAAAGCAGGCCATAAAATAAATTCCAATGAGATTATGTATGAAAGGGCTCTATGGAAGAAACCGCAACGAACACCCTCAGAACCCTCCATTACTCCAATAAAGAACTGACAGATATACAATTATGTTCTCCTCTAAAATACATTATTAAAGTACACACAGATCACTTTTTTAAAAATGTTTTATTTATTATTTTATGTGTATGTGTGTATTGCCTGCATGTACAGAAGTGTATCTGTGTCATGCAATGCCTGTGGAGGTGAGAAGATGGCATCAGATCCCCTGGAACTGGAGTTCTAACCAACACGTGGGTGCTGGGAATCGAACCTGTGTCCTCTGCAAGAACAGTCAGTGCTCTTAATTGCTGAGACATCTTTTCAGGCCCGACTCAGAAGATTTTAGACTGAACTACTAGAAGAGGACAGCTCCCATTTCCTGTGTTGGGGATCTGTGTTTATAGGACAGACTTGTGCACTGAACCAAATATTGCTAGATCAGAGAAAATATCAAAATTCAAAATCAGAAGAATGTTTTTTCTGACACTAGTAGGAAGGGAGGTTTGGACTTTTGAGTGAAACTATTGCAAGTTAGAGGTCATCTGTAATGGCTACAATAAAATTTGAGCTGGGATGGAAGACAGGAGGTCCTGTGGTGCTATCAGAGGGTTAGAAAAATAAGAGTACTAGACAAGAAGTGATGGTCAAAGACAAGAACAAATGCTCACATTACCACTTAAAGCAGACCATACAAAGTTCACCTGAGGCAGACTTAACTAGAGGCTCACAGTTATCACCTCTTCCTTCTCATGCATTCTCGAGCTACACAGAGTCTGCTGGCATTCATGATCATAATGCCACCACCAATCATCTCCCTCCTGTTGACCCAGATGGCCTTCCTCTAGTCCCTGGGCAGAGGGCTTCTCAAAGGCCAAGTATGCTTCACTCAGTCCTGCAGTTCTAAGTAGTAGCTAGTCTAGTTCAAGACACATAGATGCTGCTCAGTGATAGAGCTGTGAAAAGCCCCTTGTCAAAGCATTTATGTTATGATGTTGCCAGAGAATCATAAAATCTTTCACCTGTAGGAGGTGTCCACAGGGATTTTTATAAATGTGAAATAACAATTCTGTTTACATCTTAAGGTTTTGCTACAGTTATATTTTTCAGAAAATTGATAGTATTTTCTAAAATATTTTTCAAATTATAATTTTACCTCCATTGCATGAGGCATGGAGAACGTACATGAACAGACTATTCCAAGATTGATAACTTTCCCTTTCATTCTACAATTAATTTTGGAAAAGAAATGGGAGGAGAAAGGAGAGTCTGTCAAATCCAAGTTCTCATGTACACATGGGTATTGAACAAGTTCCTTGCTAAGCAGAGTAAAGAAAAACCAACAGGTTTACCATGTCACACTTGTTTATACTCTTAAAATGCTGACTACAGAAATGCTCTATGCTATTACCTGTGGAAAATGTATTAAAACCTCAGTTATTTTCCAAAGAGCTACTAGTCTAGAATGGTGCTTTATTAATCAGAGGTTGCGTAAGAATCATTTATGATTCCTTATGGCAATGGCCTTCTGGGTTCCTGCCACAGAGAGGCTGGTTTCAAATCCGGGTGGAGCCTGCAGCTGGGGCTTACCATTTTAAGAGTGCAGACCATGTCTATGAACTGTCTTCTTACTTTTTTCTTTTCTTTCTCTTCTCTTTTCTTTTTGAGACAGGTTCTCCCTGTAGCCCCAGCTGGCCTTGAACTCAGAGATCTACCTGCCTCTGCTTCCCAAGTGCTGGGATTAAAGGCATGTGCCACCACACCTGGCTTTAATTTCATTACTCTCTCAAGAGTGATATAATTATGTTCAAATTCTAACAATGCCACCTGTATATAAAACAGCACTCAAAATCATAAAAGCAGATTTTATTCTAACAAAGGCGATTACAAGTAACTTTAAGTAAACAAAGAACTGGACTTACTCGTTCCGCAGCTGCATTATGATATGGGAGCTCCTCCTCACTGCAGAGAATAACAACATACATGAAACGGTTGAGATCAGAGCAGATTTTTATCAACTGCATACCTAAGGCACACATTATATAGAGTATCTCCACAAGCGTTATAGGTTTCATGTTTCCATCCCACTGAATTTAAAGGAAAATAGTAGCTAGTCTATAATTACAACGTTCCCAAGATTCACATTCTCAGACCTGCAGTAGTCACTATCCACAGGAGGCAATTTAAGGGTAAGTCTCACTAGCCACTGTCCAAGTGCACAAAACTCACGTAGCTTTAGGCTTCCATAGTGAACATTTCCATCATGGCAAAAATGTTCTGCTGGAGTTCTCCCCTAGACTCAGCACCTCCTGCTATGGTGAATAAATATTTTTGGTTTTAAGGATCCTACAACCTTTTTCACAACTACTGGGCTCTGGTGTGACAGTGTGAATATAGCCACAGATGATATGTAAAAGGAGTGTGGTGTTCTCACAAAACTTTTACAAAAGCAAGTGATGAGCTGGATGTGGCCTTGGCACAAAGGTCAGCCTGCCAACTTGTGCTCTAGAGCCCACCTCTGTGCCTGGATGCAACTGTTGCTTAAAATAAAGGACTGCTTAAAATTAGAATAGGAAAGAAATGAAGCTGAGCCTGGTGGCAACAGGCCTGAGATTTTTGGTACAGGAAGCTAAGGAGCAGAAAGATCTCAAGTTTAAGGACTGCCAGGGTTTCAGTAAGTTCAAAACCAGCCTGGGTAACTAACTTAGTGAGACTCTGTCTCAAAACAAAAATGAAAAGAGGTCTGGAGCACCAGGAGAGATAACTCAGTCTGTGCAGTGCTTGCCACACAAGCACAGGAACCTGCATTCACGCCTCACACCCATCAAAAACGAAGTAAGCAAAGGGTATGGAGACATACACTGGGGAGACAAAAACAGACAGATCTCTGGGGCTCACTGGCCAGCCAGCCTAAACTAATTGGCAAGTCCCAAGTTCCAATAAGAAACCTAGACTCAAAAAACCCTACAGTAGATCACTTCTGAGGAAACCCCACAGTTGACCTCCAGCCTCCGCATGCATGTGTACCTGCATACACATGTGTAAACATGCATACACATGAACAGGCACACACAAGAAGGCTGAAGACATAAGTTAATAGTAGGGTATGTGTCTAGCATGAGGGAGGTCCCAGGTTCAATGCCCAAAATCAAAAAAAAGAAAAAAGGGATATTTGCTTCCAATGAACTTCTGAGTTAAAAAGAAAACCTCCACATTTAATCTGTAAAATAAAGAATGGCTTGTGGTCAAAACTTCAAGAGCTGTTTTTTAAATATATATATATATATATATATATATATACACACACACATACATATAAAATCCATTTCTCTTGTACAGATCATGTATGGCATCACCACTGATGTTAAAATATCCTAAGACACTTATAATAAGTGACAATAAAGTATCACATCTAAACAAAGCTGTTTTCAGTAGCTTTCTCAATGGTATGGATGTTGCTACAATGATACGTATGTATTCTTCAGTTTTCTCTTGAGACCAAGTAGCACCACTTTTAAAAACATGACAAATGAGTATTCAAGAGCCTGGAATTTTCTAAAGGCATTCTTTTGCTTCTCTGAAGAGTCCTAGATGAACCATTAAAGCCATATAGCAATGGAACTGACAAAAATGCTGTAAAAGCCCATGATTAGAGAGAGAACCCAAACCCCTCCCTTCAGAGATATGAAAATGAATGTTTTCATTAAGTCACTTAGCTTGACACAAGGACATGCAGCACAATATAATCCAGCGCATTTAAATGATCTTCAGCTAGCAGCAGAGTATATAAAGAAAAAAGATAGAGGCTAAGAAAGCAGGTCTCGAGAAGGAAAGGAACTCTGGGGACTGAATCTGGTCTTTAGACCTCATGATGGATGGCAGAGCATGATTTGATCAGTTCTCCAATACGGACTTTCTTGTTTTATGTCTTACACTTAAAACTTTCCATACAGAATCTGTTGTGCGCGCATGCTTATCTCCACAGAGCTTTCCCTCCTCAAATATCTGTGTTCATAAATGCCGATGCTTACAGCCATTGGAGAATACAGAATGCCACCTTGCTAATAGCTCTGTGTAGTGTCCAGACACACACTGGACATTGAAGATGCTCAGTAAATACTGTGAAATAGATGTGTAGATGGAAGGGATGCTTGTATCCACCAATAAATCTTTATATTGCCACTTAAATATCCTTCAGGCAGAATTGAGGAAGAATCACTATCTTGTTGAATATTCCTTCAGGTCAGCAAACCATGGCTCACAGGCTGAGTCTGGTTTGCTGCCTAATTTGGGGAATAAAGTTTTAATAGAATACTGTCATTCCTATTAATTTAGATGGGTGTTTCATGCTAGCAGCAGAGCTGAGCAGCTGTGAGAAAAATGTGGCCCACAAAGCAAAATACATTAGGTATCCAGCTCCTGAAAGCAAATGACTGCCATCCCTTGATTTACAGAATAGGCCTCACAGATACAGAGACTGCTTCCAAGTAGCTGAACCTCACAGGAACAGTGAATAAAAACAGTACAGTCATTAGGAGAGACTTTAACTGATATGTTTTTCATCTAGCCTCAAACTTTAAATGAATTACTATGTGCCATGTGTATCTACAATTTCTAAGCAATTCATGCAGAATATTGCTGTTAATGTGAAATAAACTTTTACTTGGAAACCTGATCTTGTTAAAATCAATTAAGTTGAATATATTGACTAAGTTTCATTTTTGTTTTTAAAGCAACGTTTATCTGTCTAGACTCAACCTACTTAAAATTTATATAAAAGATAGGCAGAGTGTTCTCAAGCCCCTCTAAACAAAATGAATCATCTTGAAAAACAAAAATGTCCATATGCTTCCTCTTGTAAATCTATAAAGTCATGGAAGACTACAGACAGCCTGTTCAATTTTATAATATACAAATTTGGATAAGTAGTTGAGCATCTGACACTCGGTGTTAATTTTATCTTCTTTTTTTGGTATGATTTCCTTTTAATTCTTCTAATAATAACTTGTGACCTAAAAAGCATTATTATCATTATCTAAATACCAGGCATTCTTTTTCAGCAGAATAGAGAAGGCTATTTTTGATTAAAATGTTTAAAGATTTCCAACTTCTTAAGCAGCTCACCTTCTGCACCCAGCAGCTGTAAGTTCACCACAGACACAGGCTGGGGTTGACATCTCACTGCTGAGAGCTAAATAAAGGCAGTGAGGCTCCAGCATTGAGCCAGGCTGTTTTGGAAATGACTTTTGCATTTACTGTGAAATCTATTATAAAACCAACCTAGTCCTATAGTATCTGTGTTAACTATTGTTACTCCTTTATATATCATAACAAAGAATTTAAGTTTCTAAAACTGCATTTAGACACAAACTCAGCAGTCTTCAAAAAAAGCTGTAAGGTTATTCATTTTATTGTCTTGACAATAAATTTAAAATCCAATTTCAATTGCAGCAGCAATCAAAAACTACAAATAGGGGCTGGAGAGATGGCTCAGCAGTTAAAAGCACTGGCTGTTCTTGCTGAGGATCCAGGTTCGGCTCCCAGAACCCACATCGTAGCTAAAACTGTCCGCAACTCCAGTTCCAGGGCATCTGACACCCTCTTGTAACCTCCAAGGGCATTGTACAACACGAGTGCACTTATACACATGCAGGCGACATACATAAAAAAAAATAATAAAATTTTTTAAATTACAAATAACTAAGGTATTAGAAATGCTCTTCTGATCAAGGTATGACAAAGAGCAACTTGGACATGCTTACATCAAGTAACTCTATTCAACAGTGCAAACTCCCATCTATCTGAAGTGATGTGCAATGAAAGTCACCAGCAGCAATCTCTGGAGGAAGTGTTTCACTAAAATCAGGCATTGTAACAACAGTCAGTGACTGAAACAATTTAATAAAGCCTAACAATACACTGAAATCCATTTCTCTGCATCACTGTTTTCAATTGTGCCGCCTATTTTAGGATGACAACCTGGACAGCAGGAGAACTGGTACCAAACTACCTCATTCTCAAAGACGTGGTGCTTTGGTACCTTAGCATATAGATACAAATAGCCACTTCAAACACTGTCCTCTTTGGACACTCCTCCCACCCCTTCCATTTGATTCCAGGAATGTCAAAGCCCTTATCCTGTATTTCTCTCATTAAAACACAAGGCAGTAGCAGGCAGTTCACTAAGGCAGTTCAGAACACAGCTCTGCCAGGGGAACACCAAGCCTCCTCACCCTGATATACTGTCAAAAGAACTCAGGCAACTTATTTGGCCTCTTGGTGCTATAGGTTCACCGTCTAAAACCCAGACAGAGAAAGAATACCTACCCCAAAGACTTTCTGAGGGGAGTAACTGAGTTCATCCCAGTAAAGGGCACATAGGAAGTGTTCAGTGAATATTAACTAGTATCAAAGTAAGACGGTGACTTTTTCTACTACGGCCAACTGGACCTCAGTCCAGAGTTTTTAAAAAGCAAATACAAAATACATGACTGCAACTTTTAGACTGGCAAATACAGGTTAGAATCTTGGGCAAGACTCTCTTACTTGTAAGACTTAGCTCACTTGTTTCAACTAACAACATAAGAAAATTTATGGAATTAACAGAGCTTTTTGGAAAGCCCAGGTTTTACTTGGAAGTATATTATAATTTTTAAAAACACATTACTATAGTGGTTCAATTCTATCAAATATATACACAAAATAGTCAAAATGAACTGAGCTGCATCTTACCTTCTGAATCAAAATCTAGTACAGAACCCAGAATTTTTTAAATTTTCCAAGTTATTTTAACCTGTAGACAGATTTGTGACTTACTAAGCTTAAGAATCTTAAATGCTCAAAATGTCCTTGAAAATTTGATACACACCCTAGATCTGCACTTAATCCACAAATACAAATACATAACTGCTTCTTGTCACAAAAACAAATCCACAAATATATAACTGCTTCTTGTCACATTTGTGGCGGGGGGAGGGTGGGGAGGAAGAGGAGGAATGGGGAGAAGAGGAAAAAGAGGAAAACTTAATGGAGGCATGGAAATAAGAACAGTGTTTTCATCAGCTAGTCCAGTGAAGCTCAAAGTCTTGTGATTATAACTACTCAGGAAAGAGTTTTAGATATGTAACATCTCTAGGCATAATAACAGTTTATATATGTCTAGAAGTTTATGATGTACTCCTGCATTTGATTTCTTTCAAAGCTGAACTACTCCTGAAATATGTAAGGCAGTTTTGATTTTAATGTCTAAATGAAATATGAAATGGTTAACTGACCAGAAACCAACAAACAGGTAAGAAGAACACATATTTGCTAACTCCTAGAATTCTTTCTGCTTGCTTTGCTCTCAGAAGAACATTATACAACAAAACAATTTCTAAACGCACACAATTTAGATAACACAAGAGCCAAACAAACAGATTCACATCAATTTGTAGAATATTTTTACAAGTCAAAATCACTTAACCACTTGACTTTATAGTGGTCCAGACCCTCAGAGTCTTTACACCATAAATGAGGATAAATGAGTTAATTCTGAGCGGCAACTATTATGAGTACATTTAAGCTATAAGGGAGATCAATGGCATTTCTTGCCATTTCCCATTTTTAGACTATATAACATAAATGTTCCAGTTGCTGATTTTTAAATTTATTTATATAAAATTAAATGCTTTATAATTATTTTTAAAATACAAAACTATTATCCATGTGCATTTAATTCTGCTAAATTATTAATAAAACTCATCTGTGCACTTACTATGTTCTTACTCAAGCTCAAAAAAATAGCAAAGGCTATATTCTGAACTATAGTTCAATTTTAATCATCGTGGTTAAAATGCTAGGAATTTAGTACCAAGATAGTACACTGGAGTATCACTCCTGGAATCTTACAAAAATTCTACTAGAAATAAAGAAAAATCACTATAATAGTCATAGAAAGACAGAGATTTAAAAACATCAGAGTTCAACCTGTGACTTACTGTAAAAAGCCAAATCTATCTGTGACTTTGTAAACAAGGTAATCGGCATCTTCCCAAGGTTCGATCTCTGCACCTTCTCGTCCCTAAGATGAAAGATAACAGGGGTCTTACTGGGAATTTATAAAACAGCAATTTTCTTTTTGCATTAAAGATATCAAACACAAGAATATATTAAAACAACTATTTCTGGCAATATAATCACTGCTTCCTAGTTAGAAACTGTAGAAGATACTGTGTGGCAAGAGCTGACACACAGCTGCATCTCAATCACATTACATCTCCTGAGGGAAGCACGGGGAAATCAGAAATCAAGCAACCCACTTAAAGGAGGACCTGACAAACTTTTAAAGTCTTAAAGTGAACATACCTTAGAACAAGGCCTTCATGCAAACTTCTCAGAGGAGGAAATGTACTTCATCTTTCTACTGTTTTGTTTCCCAGCTACATAGGCCCTGAACCTACTCTTGTCAAGGTCAATAATGAATTCAACTTACGAGACCCAGTGAGCACTCATTAGACTGTACTCATGTGAGGACTGCAATGACTCCCATGCACTCCTCCTCACTTGCACAGCACTGTTCCCTGTTACCCTACAGCTCTCTGTATGGCCTCTAACTCTTTTTTTGTGATTGCTTTTCATAGGTAACTCTTAATTGCTGGTGTGCACAGAGCTCCATCTTTGGCCCACTACTCTTCATTCCAGGTATCACTTACTCACAGGCTGTTAACCAACACTGATGAATATGGGATGCCAACTCCTTAAATTTGAGACTCACGATATAAATGTCTTGGAAGTATATTTTATAACATCTGCTTGTGTACTTTCCTTTGGGTAGACTGTGAGCATCCTCTGGGCAAGGGCTGTCAGAAATCATTTCTATATTATAATACAAAAAAAGGATTCCAGGTCCAAAGCCTGTGTTAACTGCAAGGGGTTCGAAAATGATCACCAATATGAATGAATAGTGCTCTTATTAATTTTACATAGTTATGCAGGTAAATAAACTAACTAGGTTTTTCATGGATTAAACTAATACCTACCACAACAACAGGGAACTGTGGGAGCCTAACTGCTTGGTCCTTGCCTGTGTGTGTCCTTAGAAGACGGGCACAGGCATGGCCTTTTATTGCATGTTCCTATTACTCATGTAAAAAAAATAAAGGTATTGTTCAAGTGATACAAATGTAAAACAGCATTTATAACTAATTGATATCTATGTCTCATTACAAACCTTTCCCCTTACGGGGAAAGCAAATCAGGAGACAAAGAAATTGTCAATAATTGTGATCTTTTTCCTTTTTTACATCAAAAACAAGATTCCATGCTAAGGTGATATGAAGGGGCAGAGGAATCATGGGGAGGGAAGTTTAAGTGATGGGGGTTTGGGTTTGGGTGACAGAAGAGGTGGTAAGGGAGAAGACAACTAACAACAGGATGTTTGAAAAGGCCATTTAGAAATCTCCTGTTTTGTAAGCTAACTCCCTGCTAGGTAGCTTTCTTAGTATCACAAGGTTCTTGTAGGGTGTTGAGGGAGGAAAGCCATCAACAGCCTTACCCAGCTGTGAACCCTGTAAGATACTAACAACAGGCCTGGCAAGATATGCCCAAGGGTGCAGTAGTGGCCCAAATGTTATGAGGGTGTCCTGACTTCCTTTCTGTTTCTGTGATAAAACATTCTGACCAAAAGAAACTTGGGAAGAAAGCTTTTTTTTTTGTTTTTTGTTTTGTTTTTATGCTTATTTAGCAGCTACTATGAATCAAAAATTGTGCGGGTTATTTAGTATCAAAAGCAAATCAAGCAAAAGGAATTTCTGATCCCAGGGAGTTTCTATTCTAGGAGAGAGGATAACAAGCAAAATATAGAGAGTGCTGATACGGTAAGTATTAGGGTGGGAAATAAAGGGGACAGGAATGCGAGGACGACGTAACAAACAGCAAGATTCATCAGAGATCTCACTCAGAACAGAACATGAAGAAAGATCTAAAAGAGGTGAGACAATGGGTCTTAGGGAATCTGGGGTAAAAGTACTCCAGGAAGGAGACAGCCAGTGCAAGACAAGAGGCAGAACAAGCCCAGGAGACAGAAAACAGCAAGAAGAGAGAGACCAAAAGAAAGAGTCTGAAGATGAAATCAGAGAAAAAGTGGAGCACGATGTTCTCAACAAGTAAACAGTTTCTGTTATTTCAGCTCTCCAATAAGCAAACCCCTTTCTATTAATATAGTTTTTCTAATAAAACTCATTCAAAGAGTAAATATGGATACTCACTCTATCATATTTAGCAACTATTTCAGCTCGTTCCTGAGCAAGTTTGAGTGCTACATCCTGGTCAGAATCTGTGAAGAAACCAAATTTAGATGGGCTGTTATTCAGAGAATAATAAAGTTAGTCATAAAAGTAAGACAAAGCAAAAATAAAACATACAACCAATATTCTAAAATGAAAAAATCAATAAAACAAAAATGAGACAAGGGTAACATTAGAATACCAACTTATCTATCACTTCAATATTATGTATAAATTCAAAAGAAAGCAAATTTATTAGCATAGTATAAACGTCAGAACACAATATAAACCTAAGCCCTTGTAAGGGTTTGAAGTTTAGTGAAATGTCCCCCATGGGCTCATGTGTTTGAGCATCTAGTCTGGAGCTGGTGGTACTGTTCTGGGAAGCTAGAGAACTGTTGGTACAGATTGGGGGAGGGGGTTATGGTGGAGGGGGCAGGCTTTCTGCATAGAGCCCAGGAAAATCCCCTCTGCCTGTTTGTTCAGCACCATTTGAGGGGTTCTGCAACATGCCCCCACCACCATACCTTTCCAGTTATGAGGACTGAAACTCCCTTGAAACCAAGAGCCAAAATAAACACCTCATCCCTCAAACTGTTTCCATTAAGCATTATATTTGGTCACAATGACAGGAAATCAACTAATACAGCACTCAAGAATCAATTTTGGATTTAAAACTTCATAGAAATAGGAAATAGAAACTGAAATGCAAAGCTCTTAAGTTTTCAGATAAAATCTACTTGGGCAGAAGATGATCATTCAAAAGCACTCCTAAAAATTAATTCCTCCACAAAATTAGCACAAGATACATTTTAGGAGTCACTGAAAACGTTATGTCATGATGAAGACAACCAAGCTTCCTTTGGTCTTTCAGATCCTTAGCAACTGCCTCAACTACTTGACCTAGGTACTATAAAAAAAATTTCCAGTTTTAACACACACACACACACACACACACACACACACACACACACACACCTCTTATTAATAATGGGTCTTTCAAAAACACAAATCTGACAACAAAAGTAAAAGATACACGACAATATAGCCCAATGACCATAAATAAACATAAAAGACAAAGCACAGATTGCAGAGGGCAACCCTGATCAAGAGGAAAAGACAATGTCAAAAAAAAAGCCAAAAGCAAGAAATTCACAAGAGTGAATTCACAAGTCTAGTATTCAAATCCCAACAATCTTGTCTGCATAGCTCACAATTTTAACCATCACTTCATAAAAATGATTCAGATCACAAAAATACGGCAGGCAGGACATACATATCCCTTCTTCCTCTAGGGATTTAGGTTGGTAAGATATATAAATAAGCACAAAGTTGTTTATAACAGCAAAATAGGAATTGGTAAATTTTTAAAGTTTTCTTCCCTCAGTCACATTCTCAGAGTATGAAATATTAATATGGTCTCCCTTCAATGCAAGTGTGAATAATAAATAAATAGAATGGTTCAGTATAACAAGAAAATACACACTAGTTGTTCAGATGTTTACACTAAACTAACAGAAACAAGTCTGAGGTCAGCATATACAGATTCATTATTCTGTTTTTGACCTAAGAATCTTTGTCAATTCCTTTTTTACTGCTGCTGCTCAGCTTTGCAACAATAAACTCATACTTTTCCTGAAGGGGAGAAAAGTAAGTGATTAGAAATTAAATTCAAACTTGGGGACTAGATAGCTTACTAAGCTCCACTAGTACTACCAGAGCTGCTAAACATGAATTTCTTTACAAATGAACAGATGGACATTTTCTTAAAATAGACTTTATACCAGGCCTTTATTCTCACTTGCTGTCCTAGAAGTTTCAACTGATTTGTAACATAATGAGAGGTTTCAAGTAAAAACTGGAAACAATATGGAGTTGGGAAGTGAAAATGTCAATAATTCCAAAAAGAACCAGAGCAAGTCACTGTTTCATAAGGCTTTTCACAGACCACCATCAAGCTACAAAATTTTACAAAGGAAAGTCTAATGGTCTAATAGAGATCATTCTGGAACTAGATAAAACTCCATCCTGATTTCTTGAGTGAAAGAGCATGTACTTTATCATCACCAAACAATTGACTCTAACCAAATAAATAAATTTTAAGCCTGTAAATTTCCTCAGAAATTTCTTATTGTTGTATTTCTCTGTGGAGATAAACATTTATAATAGTAATGAACGTACTCTAGAAAGAGAGTAGATTAAAAGCCAAACTAATTTTATAAATCATAAACAAATTTGCTTATTTAAGAGACTAAAAGGAAATACTAATTTTTTTCTACTGCTGAATCTGCAGACAGTAATGCACACCGCAAGGTAACTGTAATAGCAAAAGAAGTACAGGGTCCCCTATGGTTAGATTGTTTTTTACTCTGATCTACAGCTGAGAAACTTAAGAAGTAAACCAGAATACGTCCTTGGTTTCATTCTGATTGCTTATTTAAAACTTCCATTGTGAGAACAAAGACTTTACAATAAAACTTGACCATAAAAAACAGCCAGAACCACCTTGTGTCTATGTGCAAGTATGCAAAAATTGGGGGCTCCTATTAAGAGTAGCAGTTGTATTTCTCGGTGCTTATACCATGTACCATCAAATCAGAATATAATTGGGGTGTTAACCCTTTTAATTCACTCGAGACTTTATGGTCCACTTTCACAATTAATCCATTACAGTAAGTCTGGATTAAACTGAAAATTGGCTGTAGCAGTATTTGTTGTCAAAATACATGATCGAAGTGTAATTCATTGTGACTTAAAATAAATGTGAAAAATTCCTATCCTAAAAATAAAATCATGTGAATAAATATGAGAAACAACTAAATAGCTCTCTTCTTTCACAAGGGTGTCAGTTTAATGCTGAAGAGGAAAATATCTTTTGGCACAAATTTATGGGAAAAAAATGACTTCTATACTATAGAATTTTAAGAAGCAGTATAAAAACCAACATCACTTGCCGTCACTAAGTTTATTTAAATCCCGTGCCCCCAAGAATAAGTATCTTCTTGAACTATATTCTTTAAAAACAGGCATTTTATCCAATGCCTGTTTAATGTCACTATATTAAGTATAAATGCATACATTATTAAATTTAAAATTCAATCCAATAAAACAAAATTGACCGTTTTTTTTTTTTTTCCTTGTGAAAGTTCTGATAGGTGAGTGTTAAATATAGAAAACAGTATCAACTTTAAAAGTACTTTACCCCGTGTTAGATAATCAGGCTGGCCTCGGGAGGTGAGAGCTGCTTCAGTCCTCATAGAAAAACTTATCTACTCCAAGCTTTCATTACTATGTGAGCATTCTGGAGCACAGCAAAAATGTTAGGTGGTGCCTCACACATTCTGCGACTAACTGAAACAAAACAGGGGAAGGCAGCTCTACTTTAAACAGGGGAAGGCAGCTCTACTTTATCTGTGAAAGGAGCACAAGAAAAAAGTTTAGGATGCCTTCTTTCTTTTTCCAAATGGGAAAAAAAGGCCTCAGTGTGGTTACACGGACTACAGACATTCAAACAAAGATGGTACTTGTTGAGGGGAAACATGTCTTTCAGACTGGATCCCAGCTATGAGCCACAGCAGCCCACACCCAGCATTCCATCTCACAACAAACAGGACTTTAAACAAGCAGCCTTACATGCCAGTCTGACACTTCAAAATTAGCCACATTCTTAGTAATTTCAACAAAATCTGTCATGGAACAACACAAATTTATTTAAATTGTTAAAGCAAAGAAGAAAACTGTTCTTTTCAAGAACGTTTTATATCTTAGCACAATTTTTAATGTGAAAATGTCAAGCTATGATGCAATTCCGACTATAAACACACGCTACAGTAGTGTTTCTGGGTGGTTGTAGTTGTTTTTTCTTTTCTTTTTCTTTTTTTAACAAATGAAAGTTTATTACATTCATTTGTCATTTGGGGAGGGCACCCACACATGCCACGACACAAATGTGGAGGTCAGAGGACAACTTGTGGAAGTTGACTCTTTCCTTCCATTATGTGGGTTCCAGGGATAAATTCAAGTCACTGGGCTTGGAGGAAGTCAAGTACCTGTATTCAACTGGGCCACCTTACTGGCTTCAGTTCTGGGATTATTAATATGCCACATGCCTATAATAAAATGTGTATTCTCCTTTATTTTTTTTTTCCATATTACTGTTTTCTTTAAGTGGGCAGGGACCTAAAATTCGAAAATGCTATACCTAAGTTAACAGCCAGTTGCTGTTTTTACATACCTAGGAACAATAATTACACTTAACTGGACACTGATGAATTAAGTTTATGCTCTGCTTAAGGAAGCGGTAATATCCAATGAAAGTAAAAGATCTGAGAAAAACAGAAAAAAGGAGAAACTTCAAAACACCAAAGAATGAATGAGAATCAGACTGCCATTAAGTTTCTGATCGGCTAGAAGACAGTGAGGCACAATTTTCACCCCAAAGTTCTGAGGAAACTTTATCATAAACCTAGAAATTTATGCCACATGAGGGAAAATTAGACCTTTTACATATTACAAAGTAATAAGTTGAAGATTAAATTGATAAATGCTCTCTCTTCAAAAGACTGACGCCCACAGCCTAATCCCTAGAACCTGTGAATAACAACTCACATGGCAAAAAAGGTTTGCAAATGTGGTTAACTTAAGGGTCCTGGGAAGGGGAGACCATCCTGAATCATGCAGGTGGGCCCAATTTAATCACAAGAATCCTTAATATTGGGAGGAAAGTCAGCCAAATGGGGTAGGAGGTATGACAGCGAAAGTAAGACAGAATTCTATAAGGCAATTCACCAGCTTCAGAAGATGAAAAGAAAAGAAAATCAATCCTCCTTCAGTGACTCCAAAGGAAACCAACCTTACTGATATGCTGACTTTGGCCCAGTGAAATGAATTTTAGGCATCTGATCTCTAGAACTATAAGGTACTGAATATGTATTGTTTATGCCATTAAAACTGTGGCAATTTGTTTCAGCAACATAAGTGTATAAAGATTCAATAGTTTGCTATCTTTGAGAATACGCTATAAAAGAACACAGCAAGAAGCACTGATATT